TCAGGACGCTGAAATAGTAAAGCAGCTTTCGCGAGATACTCAAAGTATGAATCCACACCAGCACCAATACCAGCATCTGTTGCAGTCCATTCTCCAGTTTCCACATTAATGTGATTTCCAACCAAATTTAATGGTGAACGTAATTTCCATAGAGCATCCAGAGCTTTCAAAGCTACTTGTTCGTAATACGGATTACCCAAAAATAATACATTTGTTGAAACCTTACCAAATTTGCATTGAAGATTCTACAGGCAAGAAAGAAATTTGACTGTAACACTACTTTGTTTTAGAAATTTTAACATCCGTCCAATAATCCAATTCAAATTTAAACAAATGAAAAATTCTAAATCATAGAATTTATTTCAAATCAAATTCATTGTTACAAGTACTTACAGTAATATGGGACAAAGTCCCAAATTCCAGCAGCATTGTGCCAACACCAGCAGTACATGTTATTGGTGTTTCATTCTTATGAAGGCCATGTCTGAAAGATTTCAGAAATGCAAAGACCTATCCGAAATGATTCAGAATAAACAAATTTGCATTACATAACTTTTGGAACAGCTACATATAACAGAAACTGGACTTAAAATTATTTTGCGTCTAAATTTAAAATAACTTAAATCCAATTTCCATTGAGTCAAACAGTGATTTTTCCTGCTCTATCCCATTTCCTTATAACTAAAGAAATGAAGAAGGATCAACCTTAAATTAATTGTTCCATAAGGCATTCCAGTACCAGATTTAAAAGCAGGTACCAGCTTTTGAGCAAACCTTTCGGCTAATCGTAGCAAAGGTCCCGAGCAGGGCCATCCCGGTTCTAACGCCATTCCTTAAGACAGAATGAGAATAAAAATGACAAGAACTTATTTTTGCAAAAGATCTTGTTTTACTAACATTACTAGATTTAAAATGCAAGAATCAACCAACATGCGGAAAGAGTTAACCTTTCACTCGTCCAGAAAGCATATGAGCACTTATTAGTCCACCGATTACCCGTATGTTAGTTTCAAACACTGATACATTGACATTCATATCAACCTAAACGGAAAAAGAGAAAGTAAAAAGATTAATGTAAGTCGAAAAAGTTCGGGCAAGCTATGACAAACACAAATCTCCCTATTTTTATCAGGCTTATACATTACTCACTCATTACTTACGAATGGATGTCGAACGAATTATGAAATGAGATACGCATTTCAAACTATTTCATTCAACTGCCACTAAATGATAATTGAAATTACTCATAAGTCAATGAAAATATCAAACGGAATAGGTGTTAGCTGCTGAATATTACGAGAATAACCATAAAATCAAGCAACAGGAAATAATTAACAAGAAAATAAACTTTAACGGTACGAAGAATAATTTCAGAAGCACGCATGAACTCCGTTTCATTACCCATAATAAGCAGCGTATCCAATGAATCGATCAGAGTTAAACTAAAACTTCCCCATGTATCCACGCCTAAAATAGAACTGTATATACAGTTCAGTAAAAACAAATATCATACGAGCAGGATGTAACATCAAATTTTGAGAAGAGGTATAAACTTTAAAATATTTCAAGAAGGATCAAACAGATAAAAGAACAATTCTTTCTTGCTTCTTCTTCTTCAAAAATTTTGATAAAAGAATCACCAACAGAGCATTGCTATGTTATTTTACATCTAAACAAATATTTCAGTGTCAATATTTTCGTCACGATTATATTTTCTGCTTCTGCCAAAAAACCAAATGAATTATCTATTTTGCAAAAAGAATTTTAGTAAAACAGTGAATCAAAATTTGTTCTAAAATAAGAACATACCGGAACATGAAACTGGTTTCAATTCATCCAGTGGATAAGCATACAAAAGATAGCTGTTATATGCATGATAAAACATTGCCTTCACTTTGTCTCTGCAACGAAATTGGTTAAAAAAAAAGCTTCACCTCATACAATGAAAAATTCAAGAAAGTTTATGTAGACAGAATTAAGCTTTACATCAATCTCGACAAATTCAACATTTAAAAACTATGGAAACGTTAACAACAGCAGAAACAAATTATTTTTCTAATGGCTCTAATTTCAAACAATAACTATGCGAATATATTTATCTAATTCAGAATCTCTTCACATAGATAGGCCTGAAAAGATAATTATTTCTCTCATTATTATAAATGTCTTCTGTCTTTGCAAAACGGCATTACTGGTAATTAAATAAGTTAACATTTTGGAACTCTCACAACACATTACTTTAACTAACTATGATGAAATTGATAAAACCACTTTTTAAAATTGTTCAACTAAGTTTAAAGAAAAATTAATACAGGTCTTGTCTTACACGTAAGATATGTATTACAAAAGAAAATAAAATAATGATGGAATAATCTTAGCGAAATGAATCAAACTTACCGATATTTGTTCATTAGGGTACGTGGGAAATTGACACATTGAGCACTATCGAAATACAATAGCAGCAGCAGAATGCATGACAGAAGCAAGTAATAGCACAACCTCATTGCATGCAGTTTTTGCATACTGCAAGCATTTCTACAATATCAAATCAGTACCAAATTATTTCACTTTTTTCTGTATCAGACAAATTACAAACGTTGAAAATGATCTTAGTTAGACGGATTCTGAACAGTCAAGAATCTCTTCTTCTCTTTTTCCTTCTCACATACTAATCTCACTTTTACGATATGTCGGGCATCACACACGTACACGTACATACGTGTGCACACGTACAGAAACATCACTATTGCTTTGATAACTCATATTTTACAGGGCATAGATGGTCCGTGAAGTTCGAATTTTCATCAAATTTTCACATTTGCTCATTGAGTGAAATGGTGAATGTTGCAGATGGGATTAATTCTCGAGGATATGTGAAGCGAGGATTCAGTTAGCTGTCTGTGAATGTGACAACAATGTATTTCATATTTTATTTTATTCATTTTTAAAAACGTGCAAGTTCATTGAATATGCAAATGTAACATTAGTGTGATTGATATGAGTGAGTGACCATTGGTCATTGAAATGAAACATAGGCGAGCAGCTACTGATTGTTGTTGAAGAAGAGGATAAAAGAGTGGTCGATAAAGGATGTTAAAAGAAGGGGAAGAGTAGTAGTGAAAGGAAGGGAGAATATGACAAGCGATTACTGAGAAGGAAAGAAAAGAGAGTGACCACGATAGAGTGATCAGTGTTTAATGATTGGAATACGTGACATTTCATGGAGCGACGATAACAACGAGAAATTTACTTTCTTCATATACAATCATTAAGAAGCTATTCATTTCCATTTTTTATGGCACATCATCCTATAATCATATCATTATTACATGAATTTCATGCTCATATTTGCATATCAAATATACGAAAATAGTTCCTGCAACTATACCAACAGCTTGTAAAATTGTTGATTGAATACTTTTTTTCAAGTCCACTTTGATTTGCTCATTTACCGAATCACGAATTTCCGGAATCTGTAAGTGTCACCAATTTTATTTGATTAAAAAATTTAATTAAACTCCACAAATAGATAAGTGATAAAACAGTGAAAAGAATTAATCCATGAAAGGCATTCTCATATCATTATCAGAAATAATGAGCTAAGATCAATGAGTTGTAGTATGAGGAAAGGCCAACCAATAAAAGTAAGTAAATAAGTTGATTAATATTGGGGGAAAGTGAGCAATAAAATGTACGGAATTTTCAGTGTAAATATAGAAATCACATACCAAAGTACCAAGAAAAACGTATAAATACATTCCGGATGATACGGCGAAGACATAATTTCCGTATGAATCATCCGCATTACCAATTAATACACCAACTACAAAGCCCAAATAGCTAAGCGAATTTGGTAATAAGTTTAGTAAAAGAGTTCGTTTGAATCCAAGTCCTGATTGAATTAAAATTGCCAACGTTCCTGCAACATAGATTAACTTTGTAAGATATGCAATTATTAAGTATAATCTCATGAAGTAAAAATTATATTTGCTTATAATTATAAAAACTTAAATGTTTTAAAGCTTAGAAATCAATCAACAGTATTCTACATTTAACCATCATATATCATTTCATTAGCATGTTAGCAAGTAGAATACACAATGCTTATTGCTAAAATACAAAAATTAGAAATATGATAATTACGGATCAATAAATACCGATCTCTTGTGGAAGTTGTTGAGCGATCACTGCGATACCAACAGAAAAACCACGTGCCAACGAATTCGCAAATGCAGCACCGTTACTCATACCATCAACGAAATTATTCATCAAACTACCGAACATTATCATCCAGGCAACTGTTGCTACATCGAGTTCTGATGGATTCAGTACTTTCTTCTCTACCACATCCACATTCACCGATACCTCATCATTTCGATCCTTCTAAATTTACAATATTAGTGACCACACGTAACCCAGGTCATCAAACAATTTTTTAAATTTCAATTTTAAAATAAACAATCTACCAAAGCAACTAATAACATTCTTACAAATCAATATTTCGAAGTTGAATTACATATGTTAACTTTTTCCAAAACTTTATTTTTCCTAAATTTTTTCCAGGAAATGAAATTTTAAAATAATTTTATTCATAATTATTGGTTATAAATTAAAATTAATTTTTGTGAAACTAATCGATTCAAACGAATTCAAACGTTTCTAAAATCATTATTACATTTTGTTTTCTAATAGTACCACGGAATAGTAATTTCTGATTTCTATTGATTTACAGAAGAAAAATGTACATTTTTGCAGTTTGAACCATTTTCTATCGAAGTCTTATTATTATCATCCAGTACTGTTAGTACAGTCGTCTGAAGTTTGCATGACATCTGAAAAGTTAAAATTTTCATCCAATTATCATCGAATTATCAATATCTTAATAGCATTGATAAAAATTTGCCTTGCATTTTGTTTCAACCTCAACAATATCAATTTCGTCTTTTATGATAGTTAAAAAGCACAAAAGTAGGAAATTGACAGATAAAGCTCATTTCATACTTTGATTATTCCTTTTTTTTTTTTGATATCAATAAGCTTACAAATTTTTAATGACAAAAAAAGTTCATGAATTGAAAGAAGTGAAATTAACCTTTCTTGAAATCATATTGCTAACCATTGCGGCATCCAATTCACTCTAAAATGGTATTAGCTTCTGAAAAATATAATTTAAAAAATTAAAAATATATGTTGAATTTCAACCAATTAGAGGATTGAGCAGTTCCAGGTAGATTATATCGGATGTTTTTTAATTGAATAATCTAAATAAACTATAATGCACATTTAGGATATTTGGAGCAAATAATGAAGTGAAGAAAAAAAGTTCCTTTAATAGCTTTCATGGTTTTTCTTTTAATTATTTATCTAGAATTGATTCGTTTCACAAGTAAATAATATATGCCTACACATAGGCATATACCTTTAGGCGATCCTTATCCAATTCATAATATTTCAGGTCATCATTTTCACTGCTACCATTATTATTATCGTTTGCTAATATAATTCGAGCTGCCATAAAGTTGTCTTCTGTTACCATTGTTTGATTTAAATTTTTGTTTTTTTTCAAAATTTTATTCAACGTTGATTGATGAACCTTTTGCCCTTTTAATCGCATCTAAACATTTGTAAATTTACGAATATCTAATTTTTTCTTTTGCTAATTTTGAAAGCAATAAAAATATGAATTAGTCGCAGCATTATTTATAAATTAGATAAGCATAGATTTTTGAAAATAACTTTTGACAAGCATGGTTGTGAAGTTATTTGGCAAATCTAAGCATTTGAATCTAATTTTTAAAAAAAAAAAAAAAAACCTAATATTAAAAAGTCCTATCTCTATAAGAAGTTGAAAATTGGCACCAAATGAAATATTTTAAATTACGGTTACTTTTCGAAAATGCAAAGCATAAGCTAAAATTCGATCCACTGCAAAAAATGCATACAGTACTACAAGTAATATAGAAATTTTTGTTTTGTAATAACTTTGCTCCATGATATTTAAATCAAGTGCCTGAAAATAAATTTCAACTTTTTACTTTCTATTCAAAAATTGATATTCTACATCTTTTTTCTGAATTATTTATTTTTATTGATTTAAATTAAAACGATAAAACAAAGCATCAAATTATTTTATCTTTCTAATTTTATTAAATAATTATTTTCAAATTTTAAGCAACTATCCCATCAGATAATACAAAATTCATTCCTGAATTTTGTTATTGGAATAAAAGGTCACACCCCCGGTAAAAGTACGTATAATGTTGAGCCAGAAAGTGTTCCAATGCCAAAAGCCACAAGTAATGTCATAAAGAGTTCATAAAGTGTTTTGCTCAGAAATGGCACAATTGTGATACAAATTGATGGTCCGATTGCCGTAATCGTTACGATAGTCAGGCCGATACCCCAAGCTGAAATTAAAATTAATCATTTCATGCGGAAAATTTACAAAATTTCAAATGGAATGTAAATTATGAAAGTATTTTCAAACTATAATTATATATTAGATAATGAGCAATTTGTTGCTATTTTTAAAAATAAAAACAAAAAAATAAAAAATGAAAAAAATGAAAAATTACTTCTTTAACAGTTAAAATTTAAGCTATGATTTTGAGAAACAAATTTGAAAAAAGAAAATTAACAATTAACAAACTTTGCCAAACAGTGGGCTTTTGCCCTATCATTATTTCGTCAGTTTCATTTCCAAAATCCATCAACGACATTGACAAAACTTTCTAAAAAGTGAAAGATGCACAAATAGCATAATTCGACATTTATTAAATTGCACGTTATCATAACTTTTTTCTAATTTTGCAGAATTCTATTGTGTCCATAAAATCACTTCCTTATTTTCTGCGCTTTATTAATTGAAAATTTTTGAGATAATCTCTTCTCTGCAAAATTTATGTGTCATTAATTTATTATAAGTTGATCATAAGTTTTGAATTACAAAGATTTCAAATCGTAGAATTCAGCTAATTTAACATCCAATTGTAAAATTTTTATTAGAATTACGTCTTTTGATTTGCCATTGAGTAATTACAGCATGCGGATGTTAATTTATCTCATTTAAGTAATCAAATGTTTCATTCTTTAAGTAACTGTGACCATACGTCTAAAGCAGAAATGCGCAAATCATTCATTTTGCTGATTTTAAAAATCGACCGGTCCTTAACTTTTAACTCAAAGGTCAAGTGAACTACACATAAACTAACTTTTAAGCGAAGTTTACTTGACGTTTGAGTAATTTCAGCTTAATTTCCTGAAAAAAAATTCTTAGAAATACTTATCACTTTGCTTCAATGAAACTTTAAATAAGATTATGCAGAAATCATTGGAAGCTCTGGGAAATAGTTAATTCAAATTCTTCACAATTTACTTGAGAAGTAAATTAAAGAGTTATGAAGTAAAGAATTGCTTCATAAGAAATAAATTTTGTGGTGTGCAGAGCAATGAATTAATTTAAATGAAACATTCAATTAATGAAATGCGATAGATTTGAGAAAAGAAAAGAAAAGAAAAAACTTTTTTAAATTTACAAAAAATTAGTATGGCTTTGCTAAATAAAACTTAAAAGAAAATGGATCAAAATAAAGACTTGATCGATTGAAAGAGTGAAATATTTTCTTATCAGTTTCCAAATTACTTAATTTCGGTTGTATTGAAAGGCAATCAAATTAATTCCTCATTAGAATTTTTATTGGAATAATTTAAAATAGCAAATTATCGTTGCTGTGAAAAGTTGAGGGATGAAATGATGACGTCACACGTTTGCTGTAAATTAACACTTCTATACGTTATTTTATCACGTATTTAACGAATTTTACGCTTCTTAATAATTAGAACTTTTTGCTACTTCTTCAGCGTTTTTGTTTTTTTTTTTTTGCGTACAATAGTCCTGCTGTTAAAAACATAGATTGCAATTCAAACGTAAAAATTTTAATTGAAAATAAAAAAATTATTCCTCATTTTACTAAAATTGACTTCTTGACATAAATTTAAGAAAAAATGGTACTTTCGGAAAGGGAGACAAAAAATCAAGAAGAGGTAAATATGAAAAGATAAGATCTTAATAGTGTCGATTCTCTCTCCCTCTCCTTTCCCCTCTCCCTCTCCCTTTCCATCATTTTTGTTGATTTCCTCCACGAAGTGAAAAATAAACAAAATTTTCTGGAATAAAATGTTTCGTATAACCGAAAACAAAAAAAAAAAAATCCAGACTTTTCAAAAAATTTTAAAAAGTTAAAAACTAAAAACTATTTCCCACAATAGTTTCAAAAAATTTCAAATACATGAATGATTATTGATTGTTTCAATCGTTTAATATTAAAATATTATAAATGGATAAAAGATTAACGGTTAATTTTAGATTAAGCAATAACAAAAATGTCTGAATAGTTAGAAATTAGAAATATTCTATGATCATTAATTAATTATGTTATTAAATGCTATCAATGTAAGCAAATTTATTTTAAATATAGCACTGAAAAATTATAAAAATAAGACTATTACTTTTAGACGAACAAAAAAAAAAAAAAGATTTATTTTATGAATGAAATGAGTGAAAAGTACCAGTTTTACAATCAGTACCGCCTGCATTCAATCTGTTACCTTAGAAAGTTGTTTTCTTCAAATTCACTAAAAGTCATTAATTTATTTGTTATAAACAGAAATTTTGATTGAATTTGCATTCACCGAGAGATTGTAAATGGAATATTGAAGAATCATTTTACGTATTATATTGTTTAAAATTTATATCAATTTCATATGTATTTTCAAGTAAAACAAGTTAGAATTATTTGAAATTATGAAATTGAGAAACTGAAATATAATTTGTAAACATTTTAAATAGTACAGCAATAGAACTTTTTTGGTAAATTTATAAAAAACGATTTGATTTGGTATGAAAGGCACAATGAAAAGATTTTAATTTAATTGAAATGATGCTTTAAGATTTAATAAATGGTTAATGAAGGCTTTAGGTTAATTGCAGAAAAAAAAAAGTATTGCTTAGAAAAAATGACAAACAAATGTGAATTTAATAAAAAAATTTATTGAAAAATTAAAAATTCATAATAAAACTTTTGCGTCATTGATTATAAATTTATTTGAAACTTTCTTCATCTTTCAATAAATTTGTTTTTTTTTTTTAAAAGTAACTTAAAATCAACAAATTTTACATAATCGTCTTCAATATTTCCTGATAATCTGTAAAATAATCTAAAGTTTATTTTCAAATATAGTTGAAAATTCATAAATAAAAATGATGGCATTTCGAAAACTTCAATCTATCCAAGGTAACAACAAAATTCGCCTGATTTTGCTAACTCTGGTATTTTTCAAGGAATTTATGCAAGTGACACTATTCGAGAACATGCGATCAGTGTGGTTATTGACAAGAAGTGTTGAACAAAATTATTGGATAATTCAGTTTAGAATTTAGAATCATTTATCCATTCAAAATACAAATCTCTCAAACGTGAGTATTTGCTATCAAGAAAAATCAGATAAAATTTTGAAAGCATATTGCTAACTAATTATTCCATCCAATCATTAGCAGTAATGTACCTCAAACGTTTCAGAGATAAAAGTAGCTGAAACAGTTAAGCATTTCAAATTTTAATCTTACAAATTGGATGCAATATTTTGAATGCTTTGAAAAATGATATATTTTCAGGAGCAGTTTCATCAATGCAAAAATATATTAGAAAGAATTTAAATTACCATTTTGAGAGTTACATTTATTAAAGTACCGTACACCGATACATAAAAAAAAAAAAACAAAATATATTAAATTATTGTTTTTGTGCTTAAATCAGTTCAATTTATAATTATTTCAATTTTAAATTTTGTAAATTTTGTTTTTTATGGATATTTTTTTAGATTTATATAAATTTTATAGATATTTTGCACTCATACCCTCAAATTTTTCATTCAATATCAAACTGTCAGATAGTATCAAAGATTTCAAAGTAAATTATTAACATTTGAATGAGTAGAACTGTTTTTTTCTCAGACTGTCATAATCTTTTGATATTTGAATATTTTTTTTAATATGAAAAGATTTATATTAATATTTCACAAGAATAACTGATCGTTTCATAATATTTCTGAATTATGACCGAAAAAAATTAGGTGCTATAAATTAAATTTTGAATAGCCTACAGTATTGCGTAACATTTTAACCATATAAGTGAGAATGCGTATTTTGGCATTTAAAGGTCACGCAATTTCCAATTGCGTGATTTTAGGGGCGCAAATGATTTATTGAATTTTTAGCGTCTTTTGTCACCTTAAATTTTAGTGCAGAAATGTACAATTCAATTGTGTTTTCACTGATAAATTTTGACCAATTATTAAATTTTCTCATGGGATGTACGAAATGAAATTAAAATAGAAGATTGAAATGCGGAACTTTATCATATCAAACTATCACACACATTTAACAAACTGATACTGTTTTGCTTTGTAAGTTTAAAATTTAGAAACTATTGCACATTGACATTTACATTCTTTCACTGTTCAAATTATGCTAAATAATTCAACTGCTCATCAATTAAATTTTTTGAATTAGCAACTTTTTATGAAAAACTACAAAAACTGAAACGAGTGAAAGTGAGTTAGAAGATTCGGCACAAACGGGAGGAAGAAAAATGGAAAAATTAGAAAAAAAAGCAATGTGTTTGCAAAAATTAATTTCATGGATGATTCAGATAATTGTTTGATGATTTCAGTTAGCTATCACTGATAATCAAACGGTTTGAAGTGTTTCTCGAAAATGAATAGCAGCAATATTTATCGTTTATTTACGCTATCAGAAACTTCACGGTTGTTCGATTTTTTTCCAACTGGCTGAAAAAGCTTACAATGATGGTGATAAATCAATCAAATGTATCGTATCGAGCTTAATGATAATAAATAGCGGTATCATAAGCGATCTTTGCTTCTTACATTTGTCTTGTTACGTAAAATACCGAATGAAATATCAAATATTGATTAGAGGATTGATAGTGTAACACTGAAATGGCTAATTAATTTGTATTACTGTATGATACACATTTTATAACACTCTCATTTAATTTCAAGTGTTTTTTTTTTCTTTCAATTTTCCAGCAAAATTTAAATTGATATTCGTGTAAATCAAAAAGAATTTATTCATGTATATGTGTGAAAATGCTAAAGACAAAAAATTGCGCTATATTTGCATTTCTGAGCAATTACATTTTTTTTCCATTTTTAATAGAAAAAAATATTATTAGTATTAATTAAATTTAAATTTCATGCTAATTTTTTTTAAAGCAGTATTCTTTCACAGATGTTAAAAAAAATTCGCTTAATTGATCATTTCTTGTAATATTTTTTTTCGAAATGT